CTCCAGCCCCTACCACAAATCCAACCTCAAGCCATCTCAAGACTCAGGGGAAGGCTCCTTGGTCTCCAGCCACCAGGAAAAACCAGAAATGAAACTTGAGGACAGTGACCTTCTCTTGGGATAAAAATACAGATGCAAACCAACCATGATTAGAAGGAGAACATAGCATTGTGCCGATAACGACCCTTCATCGTGTGCCTTAGAAGACAGGCACCACACTAAGTGTGTCCCGTCATCTCAATGTATCCTCACTGCCAGCTTATAAAATAGGAATTAATCCCACTTTGCAGTGGAGGAAACGGAGACGTGGAGGAGCTCTGTAACTTGCCCAGAGCTACACAGCTAGTAACGGTTTGGAATCGCAGTGCAGAGACTCCAGAGGATGTGTATGGAGGCCAGCGCTCCCCTGGGCCTTGGGGTGGAGAGTACAGGGAAGATGTTTCAAAGACGTGTGAGCACACGAGCCACAGAAGTTGGGGCGCAGGCCTAGCATGGGGCACGGGGACTTCGGCTCTTTGGCTGCCTCTCCCTGGGCCCCGCCGGGAGGTCACTCACCGGGAGCAGGCTGCTTAGGAGGTGGATGCCATCCGTATCCAACCTGCAAGGAGAAGGCGCAGACACAGGCTGTGCCTGAGCGGGGGTGGGAGAGCCAGGGCCACAGCAGGAGGGGCGGTGCGGGCGCCGGGGCTACCTGGGCGCGTGGTTGATGAGCGGCTGCGGGAGGTAGCGGGGGAAGCTGTAGGTGCGGAACTCGGAGAAGGCGGTCACGCCCGGCCACGTCTCTTCTGTGGGGGTCCCTGGGGAGACGAGAGAGGGTGGGGAGGGCCTGAGTGAGGCCCAGGGCCAAGGCCGACTTGAAAGGGATGCAACGTAGCAGGTGGGAGCAAAGATGGCCGAGGCCACAGGGGGTCCCCGCCCGGGAGAGAACTAGGCGAGCCGCTCCTCCCCGTCCCGCTCGGCGCCTGGGCTGGACGGAGTTCCGGCGCCCCCTGGTGGTGAGAGGGGCGGAGCAGCGGGAGACTGACCGAGGAGGCGGAAGATGAGGTGCAGCTCCTCCTTGACTGTGGAGCCCGGGAAAAGGGGCCTCCCTGTGGCCATCTCGTAGTGGATGCAGCCCACGCCCCTGCGGGGAGCAAGGGGCAGGGGCGGCATCAGGCAGGGGCGGCCGCCCTTCCTAGGGCTGCTCCACCAGGGCACCAACGACGACCTGCCACAGCTGGCTGCAGGGGTCGTGGCTCTGGCGGCGGAGGGGTGGCCCAGGGCAGTGGAGGCTCCTAGAACTGCCCAGCCCCCACTACAGCCCCTCTCTGGGGGCTTCCCTGGGCTCGGGAAAGCTGCGACCTCTCCCCTTTCGCTCTGTGAGGTTTGGGTCTGTGCAGCCAGCGCCCATGTGGCAATTCTCTCAGCAGTGTTGTCTCAAACTCTCTCCACTGTGTGCCCCACTGGAAGAGAGAAGTACATAAATCCGTTCTCCTGGGGAACCTCGGGGCGGAGTCACAGCAGCCATTCATCACCACTGGCGGTTCGGCTTGCAATTTGGGCTGATTTTTCATTTTACACCAAATCACACGCTTGTTCATTTTAACATAAAAATAGTACTTCTCTTTCAAAATTTTCACTGGGACTGATGCTTGGGGAAGATTCATCGTATTTACTATAGGGGCCCTCCTGGACCCTCTGGGTCTCTGGTAACCTCCCACAGGCCCCTGGGGGAGGGTCTATTTAAGCCAGGGAAACCCTAACCGATTATATTTCAGACTTAATTTTTTAACATCTAGTTCAGCAGGATGTCACATGGCTTTTAGGCAAAGGAAGTTAGGAAGTTCTTCCCCGAGGCCCTTGGGGCAGCAAGAGAGTCTGGAGGTGTGGCCAGGACTGTCCTCCCCTCCTCGGTCCCGACAGCGCTCACTCACCACATATCAATGGGGGTGGAGTACTCTGTGGATCCCAGCAGCACATCGGGGGGCCTGTACCACAGGGTCACCACCTCATTGGAGTAGGTCTTTGTGGGCACTGACTTGGCCCTGGCCAGTCCTGGGGGCAGACATGTCACTGGACCTCTGTCCACAGGTGCTGTGGGGTTGACTGCTATGCCCTCCCCCACTGCACCCACACCTTGAGGCACCCCAGTGGCATCAGACCCCCACCCTAGCCCCAGCCTCACCGAAGTCGGCCAGCTTCAGCTCCCCCTTCTCGTTGATGAGCAGGTTCTGGGGCTTCAGGTCCCGGTGCAGGATCTTGCGGTGGTGACAGTAGGCGAGGCCCCGGAGCAGCTGGAACATGAAAATCTGGGAGAGGGGGAAGAGAAATGTGAGGTGGAAGGTGGTCCTAAGCCTCTGCTCCAAGGCTGGGACCGGGATGGGGGCAGGGGTTTGGCAGTGAGGTCAGCACAAGCCCCTCATTCTCCTGCCCACCCTGCAGCCCCCATCCTGGGCCCAACCCACACCAGGGAGTCCCATCCAGAGGGGAGAACACCAGGGATGCAGAAGAGGCAGTGAGTGTGGGGGAGGCCAGAGAAGTCTCAGTCAGGAGCACGGGGGTCAGGATGCCTGCCTATGTGGAGACATATGTGCTTGATCTTTTTTTTTTTTTTTCTTTTTGAGACAGCGTTTTACTCTGTCACCCAGGCTGGAATGCAGTGGCGTGATCATGGCTCACTGCGGCCTCAACCTCCCGGGTTCAAGTGGTCCTCCTGCCTCAGCCTCTCAAGCAGCTGGGACTATGGGTGCACGCTACTGTGCCAGGCTAATTTTTCAATTTTTAGTAGAGATGAGGTCTTGCCATGTTGCCCAGGCTGGTCTCAAACTCCTGGGTTCAAGCCATCTTCCTGCCCTGGCCTCCCAGTGCTGGGATTGCAGGCATGGGCCAACACGCCCAGCCTTGATTCTTTAACAACCACCAGGAGAGGTCATTCATAACCCCCAGTTTCCCCAGAAGCCTCCCTGCATTCTGGCAGGTAGCTCACACTCCCATTTGACAGACGGGGAAACTGATGTTCAGAGTTGGGAGTGGATTTTATACCAACAGCTAGACAGTGGCAGAGAGTGTGTGTCTGTTCCTGGGGTAAAGTGCTCAACCCAGTTCCTAGACTCGTTGATGGCACTGCCCTCTCTCTCTTTCCCAGGTGAGAAGGTCTGAGCCACCCCAGCAGCCGGATCCCTGGCGGTGAGAGTGGGTCCCCGCACTGGGCTTCTGAACAGGTGGCTGCCAAGATGGGGGAACCCTGCCCCCGAGGCCTCACCTTGACGTTGTGCATGCTCATGAGGTTCCCACAGTGATCCAGATACTGCTTCAGGTCACTGTCCTGGAACACAGAGCGTGACTCAGTCCTGCCCCATGGCCAGAAGCCCAGACACAGGCTGAGGCGAGGAAGCCCCTCCCTGGGAAGGGCCCACGCCCACTAGTGGGACAGGTCCCTGGCTTGAGCCACCCCTAAGCCTGAGCTCTTGGCCCACTCCTGCACGGGAGCATCTGAGAACCTGATTCCAGAACAAGGCCTGGTTCGCCCTCATCCCACCTCTCCCACTTCCTCAGCTTCCCACTCCCCTACCCACACCCTGTTTCTACCACAAGAGGGAGAGGCTGCCAGCCCCAGCCCGACTCTCACCAGGTACTCAAACACCAGGGTGAGGGACCGATCTGTGTGGATGAGGTCATGCAGGGTCACAATATTGGCGTGCTTCAGGTTCTTCAGCAGAGACACTGCGGGGAGACGGGCCTGCCTGGGTCCCCAGGACGCCATGTGTCCCCATACCCTCTTTTCTTGGGGTCAGCTCCAGGAGTCCCACTCCAGCAATGACCCTCCACCCCCAGCTCCTACCAGGGCGCAGGCTGGTGAACCCCTCCTCCTGAAGCCCCAGGGGGAGTGTGGGAGCCTAGGACGCTGTACCCTCTCGGATGGCAGTGCAGGGCGCTCCCTCCTCATGCTCCAGCCGGATCTCTTTCAGGGCCACGAGGTTCTCCGTCAGTTTGCTGCGCCCTTTGAAGACTGTGGCATAGGTGCCCTGGGATGGAGGGCCGCAGCGGTCCCAGGCACATTCAGGTGCTGCTGGCCTCTGCCCAGTGTCTCCCCATTTGTGCCTCTGCCTGGGCTATGACTGGGGCCTGAGTGCCCTTCCTCCCTTCACTGACATGCTGTTTCCTCCAAAGCCTACTTCCTCCAGGAAGCATCCCTAATGACCCCCAGTTGGAGTGAATCCATCCTTCCTCTAAGCCCCAGCACGCCGTGTGCCCCTCTATGATAACACCAGGTTTTTTCTTCCCTATATGATGCTGATATTTACACAGAGGTCACCTCTTTGGGCTCCTGGAGGGAAAGGGCTGTGTGTTGCCCTCTCTATAAACCTTCACCCACCCCAGGCCTCTGCACAGTGACAACAGAAATACTTAAGTGATATAGCACTTCCTATATGCCAGGCATTGTCTGTGTGCTGTACATAACCTGCCCAATCCTCGCAATAACCCTATGTGATAGGACAGTTACTATCTCATTGGACAGAGGAAGAAACTAAGGCACACAGCGAGGTCGTGTAACTCACCAAAGGTCACAGAGCTAGTAAATGGTGGAGGTAGGTTTTGAACCCAGGCAAGAAGGACTTGAAGAAAAAAAAAAAAAAGACTGGATTCTGCCCAGGGCCATGGCTACTCTATCCTCACGCCCTCCTTCAGGATCTGAGCCCACTTCAACCCCTGCCAAAGGCTGGGCCAGAGTGCACGGCCAGGACTGTGCACCTCTGTGGGGCAGGGGCCATGAGAGGGCCAACCAGAGAGGGCCGACCAGGGAGGGCCAACCAGAGAGGGCCGACCAGGGAGATCTGCCCCTCCTCCAAGCCATCCTGCCTGGCTATTTGGAGAAGACCAAACCCAGCCTCTTACCTCTCCCAGTTTGTCCAGTTTCACGTATGTTTCCAGTTTCCCAAAGCCAATGTCTGACTGAGAGGGAGAGACACAGAATGCCATGAGCTTGAAGCCCTTAGCAGCTCCACAGACATGACACCTCCCCCAACTCCAGCCTCTGGGAGGGAAGGGATGAGACCCCATGGTGGAAGGGGCTCGTTTTCCCTTTATCCCTGTGATAAAGGACAGAGCTCATGGAAGTGTGAGTTTCTTCCTCCCAGGACAGCCAAGAGTGTGGAGCCCAGGGCTGTGGCACCTGGGATTGTTGCACATCTTGGTTACCTGTGTCTCCGACTGAGACCACAAGCTCCTCCAGAGTGAATGCTGCCTTTTTTCCCATTTTACCTTGAGTGTCCAGTTCAGAACCCACCTACCTGACGGTGTGTCTCATCAGCACACTTCTAGCTCAGGTGTATCCAACCCTTAACAAGACGGATTCCCGGACCCCCTAGCTGGAGAGGCTGATTCTATAGGTGTCTGGAGGGGTCTTAGAGTGTGTGTTTTGTAAGATGTCCCAAACAGCTCTGATAGGCAGCTAGGACTGGAAGGCACATGCCAGCTGGCCTATTGATCTTAACCATGTGGAGATCGTGGGACCTGGTGTAGGCTTAGAGTCCCATTCTAGCCCAAGTGGGACCCATCTAGGAAATGGATGATGATGTAGGAGGACGATCTAGTTGAATGCACTCAAGCCAGCAGGTGGCGCCAGAGGCCCAGGAATCTTCCTAGAAACACCATATAGGCCTCAGCTGGGACTGATATGCCTGTGCTGGGGAGGGCATATCACCCCATTTTGTGTCCTCTGACCCTCTTGGGACTCACCAGGGAGGCCCGGCGGGACATGCGGCTGGGCGGCTTGGGCAGATCTGGGCTCTCCATCTGTAGCTTCTGTAGGAATTCCTGGGGCAGGCGGATATCCATGGGCAGAGAGAGCCTCTTGCTGACGTCCTGTGGTGACAGGGATGAGATGGGGACACCACTGTTGGCTTCAGGGTAGCTAGGGCTGTGGGGCCCCAGACGGTCACTCTGGACCTAGCGTTCCCTGCAGAACAACCATTCAGAGCCCAATCACAGGCTGTGACCCCAAGCTCACAGCTGCTCCCAGTGTGTGCTCAAGACATACACATGAACACCCGGGGCTGCTGTGTGACCTTAGCACAACCAGGTCACTCTCCACCTCCCTGGGCCACAGTATCACCATCTGTGCAACATCAATCTCATGCCCTTACAGGCACTGATTCTGTAAGTATATTTTTTCATATATTTGGGCCTATGTGTGTGGATCAAATAGTCAAATTGTCTAGCCCTTACTAAGTTCAGGAATGTTCTAAGCACTTGGCATAGATTAACCCATTTAATCCATGATGACCATTTTAAAGACAAGGAGACCATGGTGCACAGAGGTTGAGTAACTTGCTCAAAGTTACAGAGCTAATGAATGGCAGAGCTGGAATTTGAACTCACAAAGTCTGGCTGTAAGGCAGCTGCCCTCCTGTGCACACCCCTGTGCGTGCATCCTGCCACCTTCCGGGGCAGAGCTCCAGAGGCCCTCACCTCCATGGAGAAGCGGCGCTGGTTCTGCCGCCGCTGGAACTGCACGCCAGGGGACAGCTGCCCCGGCTCCTCCCCGCTGTCCGTTGGGGAGAAGGTGCTGCACTCCTGCGGGGGGTCTCTGCCAAGAGGACCGAGCTGCAAGTCTAAGAGGGACAGGCATCAGCTCCCCTCCCTGCCTCTCTGCCCTGAGGGAGAGGAGGGTAGCCCCCCGTCCCCCAGCCCTGTGCTCCTCTCCTAAGGCCAGTGGGCAAGGGGTGGGCAGGGAGGGGAAGGAGGTGCCTGGGGATTGTCTGGTAAGTGGGAGAGGTGCTGGGTGGACCCAGACCTCTCACCCTCGTTCCGCCGGTTGTGGAGCTGGTTGAATTGCTCTGTGAATTCAGCCAAGGATTCTTCGATGGTCTCAGTGCGGGGCACTGACAGGGAGAAACGGCGCTTAAAGTTCTTCATCTTGTTCATGATCATGAGGGACCGGGCAGCCAGGTCCTGAGATGGGAGGTGTGAGAAGGGCAGGTGAAATGAACAAGGCATCCAGTCTGGGTCTCCACCCACTGGGAATTCAGCTTTCTCTTTCCATCAAGTTCTGTCGACCTGTATGCCACCATCACTGGGAGCCAGGGTTGCGTCTTCTCCAAAGTTTGACCCTCCTGAGGGTGGGTGTTCACCCTCTTCTTCCCAGTTACCCTCTTCCTCCCAGCAACTCTCAGCACTGCCCCCATCTCCCGCCAACAACCCACCCGGCCACATCCCGTGCAGTTCTCTATGGACCACTTAGTCCAGCAAAGTACTGGTCATAATAGCAGGCATGATGTGCAAAGAGGATCCTGAAGGCCCCCCAGACCTGAGCCCTTTAGCTGCTAGAGGTCTAGAGAGTTCTGGGGGAAGGGCTGGGGTGGCAGGGAGGGTGCCAGAACTGGGCAGTCCTTGGGCCAGGAGAAATTTACCAACTTGTGTCCAAGGGCTTGAATGTGTCAACGGCCAGTAAATCTTACTGACCAAGGCCCATAAACTGAATGTCAGCTTGGCCAACACCCTTGGGACATGATTGGGTCCAAACCTCATTTCACCTCTGATACTGACACATGAAGGTCCCTGCTCTGGCACGCCCCAGGAGGCAAGAGGGGAAAAGGAGGAGGGAGGGGAAGAGTGCATCAGAGCTGGCCAGCTGCATCTCCTCTCCAGCTGAAATATGGGAGGTCAAGAACAGTGGAAGGTCTCAGGGCAAACACAGAAGCTTGCCAGAAATACAGTCGAGCCCTAGGGAAGATGAGGCCTGATCTCTGCTGGCCTCTTCCCAGGCCAGAGCCCTCCAGGCAGGCAGGTATCCCCTACTGAGAACACCATGCAGGAGCAGTGTGAGCTTTCTGCCCACCCCCACTGGCCCTGTCCCCAACCATGAAAGCTTTCTTCTTCAGGCTCTCCAGCTCCTCGTGCCCTCTGGTCTTAGGGGAGGAGCACAGGGCTGGGGGAGGGGGGCTACCCTCCTCTCCCTCAGGACAGAGAGGCAGGGAGGGGAGCTGATGCCTGTCTCTCTTAGACTTGCAGCTCGGTCCTCTTGGCAGAGACACCCCCATAGAGAATGCCCTGCTGGCCACCCAATGAGACCCATGCAACTGCTTCTTCCTGCAGACCCTCCTTTTTCCCTCCTGCCCTGAAAACCCAGAGCAGCACTGTCCCACCTCCCCTCCACTTCCCTTCATGGTTTCCTACATGCTCAGTGCAGCCCCCCTGTCATCCTGCTCTGCACACATTGCCCTTGAGGCCTCACAAGGGCTTCTGCCCATGCCAGCAAGAAGGCACCACGGGGTGAGCCCTATGATGGGCTGCGCTGCACCCGCTCCCAGCTGTTACCCATGCACCAGGCACAGCCCACTCCTGGAGGATGCTCTCAGCCCTGCCACTGGCCAGCACCTGGTTGCCAAGGCGACCAGGCCTTTCCCGAATCCTCCTGGTTTAAGGGATTATGGATCAGTAACATGTTGGCTTTGCTTAATGATCACATCCTTCTGTCCTCAGCCAGCCTGGAAAGGGTCTTCTGTCTGGCAGCGCATGCTCCTGGCTGCCCCCAAACACAGCTCAGTGGTGGCCCTCCAGCCACCCTGATCCCAGCCAAGATTCATGGCTGGGTATGAACAGGCTCTCCTTCATTCCTTCAGCAGGCTGGCACCTCTCAGAGTGGAGGCCTCGGGTTTGCAGTGCTAGGAAGGTCCATCTCTGTCAGTGGGCCCTGAAGTCTCACTCAGTTCCACTCAACAAACAAACTGGCCAGGCATGGTGGCTCACGCCTATAATCCCAGCACTTTGGGAGGCTGAGGTAGGTGGATCACTTGAGGTCAGGAGTTCGAGACCAGCCTGGCCAAACATGGCAAAATCCTGTCTCTACTAAAAATACAAAAAAAATTACAAAAAAAATTAGTGGGGCGTGGTGGCACATGCCTGTGATCCCAGTTACTTGGGAGACTGAGGCAGGAGAATCGCTTGAACCCTGGAGGTGGAGGTTGCAGTGAGTGGAGATTGCGCCATTGCACTCCAGCCTGGGTGACAGAGCAAGACTCTGTCTCAAAAAACAAACAAACAGAAAAACTGAACACCTAATATGCGCCAGCATTGTGCCAGGCATGAGGGTTTCAGAGGCAAGTAAAGGGTGGTCCCTATTCTCAAGGAACTCAGGGGCTGGTGATGCCTCCTTTGATGAGAAGGTAGCTGAAAGTGCTTCCTCTTTGGCTTCCTTGGCAAAGCCCACCAGCCTTGGACTTTCCTGATTCCCCATCCCTAAACTCCTTCCTGTCAGTCATCTTCGGCTGCTCCTCCATGGCTCTGTGCAATGTCTCAGGTCTGCTGTCTGCAGGACTCTTGCAGACAGGAAGCTTCCAGAGGGCAGCCACCAAGCCTCATACTTGTGTATAGCATCCAGGCCACTGGAGGCTTCGTGATGGTGGCAGGAGGTATGGGTCCCAGTGACAAGAGGACCCAGACACTCCTACCTGGTGACTCCCATTTCCAAGTAAGATAGGAGAGTGGAGATGGCCCCCTTTACAGATCAATTATTTTCTTTTTTTCTTTCTTTCTTTCTTTTTTTTTTTTGAGATGGAGTCTCACTGTCACCCAAGCTGGAGTGCAGTGGTGTGATCTTGGCTCACTGCAACCTTCCGGGCTCAAGCAATTCTCATGCCTCAGCCTCCCGAGTAGCTGGGATTACAGGCCTGCACCACCACACCCAGCTAATTTTTGTGTTTTCAGTAGAGACAGGGTTTCACCATGTTGGCTAGGCTGGTCTCAAACTCCTGACCTCAAGTGATCTGCCTGCCTCGACCTCCCAAAATGCTGGGATTACAGGCATGAGCCACTGCACTCAGCCAACTATTTTCAAAGATAGCTGAGCATTAGAATCACCAGGGAGCATTGTAAAAAAATTCAGATTCCTAGGTCTCACCCTGGGATTCTGGAACTGAGGTTCTGAGAATGGTGTCTGGGAAAATGCATTTGAAAAAACATCTCCAATGATGTACACGTGGAGCCGTGACCAGGAAACATTTAAGGTCCAGGTCAGGGACAGTTATCTGCCCAGGCTTCCAGACTACCCTCCTGTGCTGAGGCAGGGGATCTTCAGAGCAGGAGGCCCCCCACAGGAGAGAAAGTCTCTCTGTCCTGGAAGCCGGCGCATCTGCACGGCACCAACCGATGTCCCCGTGCTTTGTCATGGTTGTTTTCTCGGGGTGGGGAGAGGCGGGCACTTGGCTCCCTGGGGTCTGAGCTCTGCTAGGAGGGAGACCAGCCACACCCCTTTCTAAAAACAGGGCTTCCCCATAAAACCGTCCTGCAGTCTGGGATTTATGGGATGGCCTGTTGGATTTGCAGCTCAGGAATCTACAAGTAGCAGCCATAAATCTCACACCCTTGCTCTCGATTGTAGGCTGAGGGGAGGGGAGCTCATTAAAAGCCTCCGGGAAGGAGGCCCCCCATTTCTGCAAGACAAAGGAGATTCAGCCCTGAGTCACACCTGCTCTCCCCAAGGTTCAGTGAGGAGCAAGGAGCCACCAGCCTGTGCCTGGGGTGGGGTGAACGCAGGGAGACGGAGGGAGGGTGAGGCCAGAGGCAGCTGAGTGGAGCAAGAATGTGGGGCCAAGCAATGAAGGCGATGGAGACCAGCTGTTCTCCATCCGCAGGAAAGGAGCCCGAGGGGAAGTGCCTGTCAGTAGCAGGAGGGATGGGGGTCAGATGTAGGATGGACTTCCTGATGGAGGGATGGAGGTCAGATGTAGGATGGACTTCCTGATGGAGGGATGGAGGTCAGATGTAGGATGGACTTCCTGATGGCGACAGGGGAGCAGGCGGTGGGGGTGGTGACCACAGCAGAGTGGATGTGTCTCTCTGCTGGGGACAATCGGGGCATTGAACCCAGCAGGGTCTTGGGTGTGACAGGGCAGACTGGGCAGTGAATAGTCTGTTGTTCCCTAGGTCAAGACACAAGATGCCTCTGTCATTTTTCCCTTGGGAGAGTCAGCTCCTCAGATTTGGGGGTTGAGGGGGAAGGGAGACAGGAAAAAGGCCTGTCACCTTAGTGCTGTCTGCCCCTCACCCCCAAGTGGGGACAGAAGGACTCAGTATGACCAGCCTGAGGCCAGCCCAGGGCCAGGCACAGCACAGCCTTTGTCCTCAGGCCAAGGAGCCATCTGGGGCTGTCCCCGTGCAACTGGTGCCAGGGGAAGAGGGCAATGGGCATCCAGGGATGCTGGCCTGGCAGTGGGGGGTGGGGGAAGTTGAAGGAGCAGAGTCCCACTGAGGAGCTGCAGGGTGGGCAGGCAGACCCCAGCCAGCCTCCCCTCCCACCTCCCTGCCCAGGTAAGTCATAAAGCTCTCAGCCCGCTCCAGTTGCTTCCTTCCAGGGACACAGCAGCCGGCCCAGAACTTCCTGCTGGTGCCAGAGCCATGAGTGGCACAGAAGGAGGAAGGAGGAGCCAGGCTGGGAGGAAAGCCAGCACTTGCCAGAGGCCACTGTGCACCCAGTGAGCAGGGCTGGCCTCCCAGAATGTTAGCAGGGGAAGATGCTCACACACCCTCCATCCCCATCCCTTGCCCAGTGAAGATGCTGAGGCTCCAAGAAGGGAAATGACTTGCTCGAGATCATGCAGCAGTTTCCTGGTTGTTGCAAAGTACACAAACGTGACCATATTGCTCCTTTCTTCTCCTGCCTGGAGCCCTCCCTGCCCTTGCCCCTTCCCTGTGGCCTAGGCTTGACTGTTTTCTCCCACTCTGAATTGCATGCCAAACAAACCCAAACTCTGGTGCTACCACTAGCGGGCTGTGGAATCACAATAACGTTATAAAACCCCTCTCACTCCTGGCTCCAATCATTCATTCAACAATTATTGAACACCTGCTGCATGCCAGGCACTGTTGCAGACCCTGAGAATCACAGATGAATGAAACAGATATTAATTCCTTTCCTAATACCTTCCATCAGGGGCAGGGAGGTGCAGACAATA